GGGCGCCCGCCTGCGTCAGGCCGTCGCGGGGACGGCAGGTCTCACGGCCCGGCAGCGCGGTGGAGCTTAGACGTCTGCGTCTTGTTCTTTGCCGGTGGAAGAAGGATTTGATCGTTCTTGACACTGAGTGTTACCTGTAGCTTTCACAGCTGAGGCTGAGCTAGGATCATTTGCTGTTGGTTCTGTTCTGTGTGTTTACTGCCCCATCCCTGTTGAAAGTCTTCTGCTAATGTAATCAGACAAATTTACAACAAAGGAGCCACTGACAAAAATATAAAGCAGCCATACAGGATGCAAAGAGACAAAGAATTCTTTTGGCCAGAAAATTCTCTGGAAAGTCCAAAAATAATTTGGGCTGAGCTACCAACCACCATCAGGAAGCGTCTTTGCTTTAAGACTAAAAGTTTTTTCACCAGTGGGACAGAAACAGGTCCAAGGACCATCTGCAAATGCTCTGAAGAGCACAGCTTGAGCCCTCAGGCTTATTACATTCAGCTGTTGCACTGTCTTACTTTTCTTAAGGCCTGTTTGCTTGTGTCTGTGACCCCCTTGAAGAGGGACAGTGACTCTGAGTCTTGATTTTTGTCACCTTTTCCGACTCTACAGATTTTTCTCCGATATAATCAAAAAATACTGAGCACCTCAACAAGCCTGCCTGACAGTGTCCATGCTGAAACGAGACATGCTAATGCGTGAGCAATATTCCCTATATTTACTTCTCCAAAAATGTCCCAAAAGTGGTGCTGAATACTGTGTAAGAGACTGCAGGTTTTCCTGCAGGGGAAGTCTGTCTCTTCCTGCGCTTAGCAGGACGTTAGATGGTTTGATCAGCTGCTTGTAGAATATGGTGAATCCATCGATATTACAGAAGCAGGGTCAACAACGCTCAGGAAAAATCCCCTCTAGAGCCTCTGTTGGTTATTAACATCACACTGTTTTCTGAAGTGCTTGAAGTTCATGATGACTCTGGATTTTTTTTTAACCACATCAGTATGATTTTTTTTCCATTCAAGCTATATTTCCTAAAACTTGCAACTTCTTTATAGCAATTGCAAAAATACACAACCTTTTTGCTCTGTCCTTTTCCAGGTTACTCGTCGGCAGTACAGAAATTCTCCCAGACTTTGCAGTCCTTTCAATTTGACTTTATTGGTGACACGCTAACAGATGATGAGATTAATATCGGTAAGTGTTCTTCTTTTGGATATAAACTTGCAGTTACTGAGAAAGCTTCTCCTTCCCAGGAGTTTGCCTGTGCTGATGTTTCTTAAACAGATTCAGGAGCCAGGTTTGTCACGTGCCAGTCAATATGCATCATATGTTGCATGCAGTAAAAAAATGCTGTTTTGTAGCGTATTTTACAAAGCTGGAGCTGTCGTGGTAGAATGTAACATACCGAGCTCAGCGGTTGATATTGCCAAGCTTTTCCATGGCTCCAGCCCTCCGCGGTACTGCCAGGCTCTGGAAAGGAAGCGCGGTGTGAGCAGGAAGCTTCTCGCTTGCACTGTCCCCTGGGTGACCTCTGCAGCTAAATCGCATCGCTTCTCTCTGCCGCAGGTAGAGTGGGAGTAAGCATGAGTCAGAGCGTTTGGCCACATGTCCTGAACCAGATGGACAATGCTCCCAAAGCTAAATTTGCTGCGCTCAAAACGCGTTACATTTAAAAACAAAGCAGCCTCCACACTATCCTGAAAAAGACACCAGGCTGCAAACTGCTGGGAAAAACAAGTTGCTGGATGTATCATTATATGGAAAATATAATCCGTCTTCGTGGATGGGGAAGCTGGTGGCACATGGATCTATCCTGCTCTCCACACGTGTTTCAGGGTTAGAAATCCATGTATTTTACTCCCCTGCCAGGCCAATAGGTTCTGTGTGGGTTAAACATCTGCCAGCTGCATCCAGGCAGTGAAAACTGACGGACTAATCCTAGACCCAGCATTTTCCCAATGGATCCTCCTTTTAGATTAACTATCGCTGTAAAACTAGCAGCGTGAAGGGTGGGAACTGTCGCTGTGGTGACACTGATGGAAGAAGGCTTTGGAAAACACGCAGGAATTCCCTCACTGCTGGGCAAAGAGCAGGCTCCAGGCAGCAGGACAGCAGCTGCCCGGCGGTCTGCGTGAGTCACGCAGGAAAGCAGGATAACCTCTTTGGCTTCGGAAATGGTGTGACCAAGCCTGATTTTACAAAATACTGGGAGGCTTCCACTCTCGGCTGAGGGCGACTGAGGCCTCGCCGTTTAGCTGGGCAGATGGGGCGTTAGCCTGCAGAGTTCCTGCAGAGTGAAAGCAGGAAAAAAATGTTTGCAGCCTCTTGTTCAGCAGCGGCCAGAAATGTCACGTTGCTGCTGTCGGTTCTGTTAGCCATCGCTGAAAGGGGAAGGAGGAAAAGCTTGCTCTTTTGGTTATTTTATTTAAAGCAATTTAAAGCAGCTCGTGGCTTCCCCTTCAAAAACTGATTTCCTCTATGGAAAGCTTCTAGGTGAAACCTATTGGAAATGAGTCAGTCTCCAATTCTAATGGAAATAGAGGTATTGAATTTGCGAACTCATCTGGAGAATGGAGGAGAAAAACCTAGCATTATAAATTAGCCCTACTGGGAACGGAAGGATGTGAAGCAAATAGCCGCCCAAAGAAATGAGCATCTCTCTTCTGTGAGCTGAAAAGGGCAAAGCCTCACTTAACGGTCCCGTGTGAACATGCAGCCTGTTTGTCCACACCGCGGCGGTGGTCGCGAGGAGAGGATTCCCCGGCGCTCCCCCGCCGTGGAAATGCGCTCGGTTTGCGGGAAGACTGCTAAAAATGACAGATTTGGTACGGGGGGATCATGGGTGGGAGGAGGAGAGCAAGGACAGGTTACGGCAAATGTAAAACGCTGGTGAAACAAGTGTGTCCCCACTTCTGTTTTTGTTTGGACGTACTTGTTTTGCTTTTTTGAGAAGAGAAGAGATCCCTCATCACCCGGTATGCAAAAGTCTGTGTTGTGTTCCTCCTCCATCAAATCCTGTAGTATCTCCTAGGGCCTGAGCTGCTCTGGAAGTCTCTCTTATTCCTAAAATAGGAGCAGGGCGTTGACATCTCCGTGGCAGCTTTCCTCTCTTGCAAGACTTCTAAAAAACGGAGATGCTTGAAATCTGTGCGTGAGCGTAGGAGCTGATTTGAAGCACAGGATATGGGAATGAAGTATAAACATCTACAGAGCACTTCTCGCCGTACTTCAGAGAATGTGTTTGATCTGTAAATATAACTGAGAGCAGGCTTTTTTTCTTTTTACGTAGGCAGACAGCAAACTGACGCTCCCGCACATAATGTAGTGACTTTGAATGCTTCAAGCCTGAGTCAGGAAGCCATCGCTCCCTTGATGTTGTCTCTTGCAAGCAGCACTTTCCCATGGGGACATCTGACTGTTTGAGACGCATCCTTGTTGCATAATGATACATACAGTGTAGGCAAGCGGCCTGTTGCTCTGGGTCTGAAGGCAGGAGTGGGGCTCCCGAGCAGGCTGCCGTGGGAGGAGTGAAACACGCAGCAGCTACCTCCCGCCTGCCACAACTTTCCATGTTGGAGCGCGTCCCTGAGTACTGGCCTCTCCCCCGAACGCACGTCTGCAGCGGCTGACGGTTGCGATCTCTTCTTGGATCGCTCACGCAAGAGCCGAATAAGCAGTTCCTTTAGAGATGAGCTGAAGAGGAAACCAGAGAGCACGTTTGTCTCTCCCGGGCGCTGGAACGTGACCGCCTGCGCTTCGAGTCTGCCAGCCCTCGTGGCGTGCTTGGCCCACGCCGAGACCTCGCCCCCGCGCCGGGGGTCGGCCGGTGGGCTGCTTCCACGGAGCAGCTTGCACGCAACCTCCGCTTCGAGGCAGGAGCTCGCGGCCGCAGGCACAGGCCGTCCTGTGCTAGTCGGCCCCGGCGCTCCGGACGCTCCTGGTTTTGTAGCGCAGATACGGTCTATGTAGCCTGTTTGCAGTGGAGGGATGTATTCAGCGAATAACTGTTGCTGCAGCCGGGAAGCGTGTGCCTGAATCCTTTCTGCAGAGCAAGAAAAAACCGTCTGGTGAGAATTGTAGGCGCTAACGTTTTCCCTGCAGCTGTAGGGACGTGTCCTTTTTCTGCCAGCAATAACTCCCTTCCTGGCTCAGGCTCCTTGCGCTGAGCTTCCCAGCGTCTCTGTGTGTACTTCAGCTCCCATACGGTCATGGGTTAGCGTGGTGAAAGTCAACGTATCGGCCCTGCAGGGGGGTACATAAACGACCAGGACAGTGCGTGTTCAGGGCTCTGAAGCCCTCACCCTGGGAAGAGAGCTCAGAAATTACTGACTCATCAGGAAGGTTGTATTTTGGTGACTGTATCACGCGGTTGTGGTTTTCTTCTTTTGCGTCTGCCTCAGCAACTACCGAGTGAGTGCTGTGGCCCTGAAAGCTGGCGCCGGCGTGCTGTGCGGCAGCTGCTCGGGCTGGTTTTAGCAGGAGGACAGGTAGTTCTCCTACGAGGGTACGTTCGCCTGTGCGTGCGCGGTTAGGGCCTCAGTTTGCGGCTCGGGCCATAGGAGCACTCTGTCTGCCGTACCTGAGACATAAGCTGTTGCTGTATACCCCTCTCTGCGTGCATGATTTCCTCCCTTCTGTCTTCTCCCTGCCAAACCCCATTAATGAGAGCTCTTGATCGTGCCCTGGTGTGAGCCAGGCTCTTCTGAACGTTCTTTAGTTAATTCTCAAATATTCTTTGAATCGCTCAAGAGCGGATCGGGTGCCTCTGCGTACTCTGCTGTAAGTGTGGAGCCTGACCTGCCAGCAGAGGGGAGAGCAGGGATCCCTGTAGACCTTACAAAGAAAATCCTCTGAATTTGATGCACAGAAATGTAAGGCTGAGACACCCGTAGGATCGCGGCTACGCTGCTGCTCTGGACAGGATCAGCTATGAAACAAGCAGGTTGCTCGTTCCCAGGCACTGGAATGTGATAATTTATATTGTTAAACTGTGAGAACATTTCCCAGCAGACTTCTGGCTTGTGCAAACTAGGTTTCTCCCAGATAGTTCCCAGTACCCTTAGGCAATTAGATTATTCCTGGTAGGTGTTTTGTGCACAGCCACATCATATGCGTAGACGGATGTTTGTCCAGCCTGTTTTTCAGATTGCCTGGAGAACTGCGGCTTTTGCAGTTCTCTTAAATATTGCATTTCAGTGCTGTTAGTGCTCTTACGATGAGAAAGGTTTTCTCCTGATAGCAAACCTAAATCTCCTTTGCTACGAATTCAGCCTTTTTTCTGTCTTCTGTCCTTTGGTGGGCAGAGAGAGCAGCTGATCATTCCCTTTGTATAATAACCTTTTTTTTTTAATATGGGAAGATTGCCAATTGTTCCTGTTTTGTCTCTTTTTTTTTTCAGGCTAAACAAACTTTATTGTTTCAGCTTGTTTAAGGAAAGGTTTCATAACACCGGCAGCACCGGGTGGAAGCAGGCAGTCTGTGAGCTCTCTCTGCCCGGCTGCTCCGGTGTCTCTCCTCCGCACGGCATCGCCAGCGACCGCTAAGGTTGTGTCTAAACAAAGGATCTTTTTCAAATCTTTCTGTAGTGTTTTTGTTTGTTTGGTTGGTTTTTGTTTGTTTGTTTTTTAAGCACTGTAATAATAATCACAGAATCACAGAAGGGTTGAGGTTGGCAGGGACCTCTGGAGATCATCTAGTCCAACCCCCCTGCTCGAGCAGGGTCCTCTAGTGCATATTGCCCAGGGTCACATCCAGACGGGTTTTGAATATCTCCAGCGAAGGAGACTCCACCACCTCTCCAGGCAACCTGCGCCAGTGCTCTGTCACCCTCACAGTGAAGAAGTTTTTTCTCAGGCTCAGATGGAACTTCCTGTGGTTCAGTTT